AAACCCTCTGGGTCTGCCTTCCAATCAGACAGGGATCTTCCCTTAGATATGATGTAATATACAGAACCCCAGGACAGACTGAAGATTATGATAACTTGTTGACTGACGAGATAACTTAAATGGCAATGAAGGGGGAGGTTTTGATTATGGGTGACTTCAACATGCCTGACATTAACTGGAATTCTCAAACTGCTATTACAAGCAGGAACAGGGATGTAAAAAATTTTAAAAGAAAACTTGGTTTCTAGAGATCACCAATGTCTTTGGTTTGCTATTAAAATAAGAACCGAAAAATCATATACAAAAACAAGTTTTAGATTTCAAAAAGATGAATTTTGCTGCAATTGGTGAATTTCAAAAAAATTAATTGAAAGGTTGGAGTAAAACAACAGGAGTAAGTAATCAGTGGGCACTGATAAAAAGTCTATCATCCTGGAGGCAACTAGATTATGGGGAGCTGGAGAGTCCAAAATCAGACTCCCTTCTGAATAGAAACCAATCAGCTTCTAACCTCAGCTTGTTCAATGAAGCTTTGGCAATTAAACCTGGAAGCTGATTGGTTTCTATGCAGAAGGGAGTCTGATTTTGGGACTCTCCAGCTTTAGTAAATAAACCCCTATATGTCAGGAAAGTTAGTAAGAATAAATGGAAGAAAAAAAAAAATATGGTTAAAAAAAAAAATATTGTAATATGAAAAAAAATCAGCATAAAGGAGATTCAAGGAAACAGGAGGTGTAGGTGACAGAGAAGAGTACTGGAATAGACAAATGGAGGCCAAACACAAATATCAGGTGCTGCCAGAGCACAGAAAGAGGAGGAAATTGCTAAATCTATTAGGAAGGAGAAAAAACCTTTTTTAGGTACATTAGTGATAGAAAGAAAAAATACGATGGGATCACTAAAATGAAAATTGGACACAACACTGATGTTAAGGGAAACCTGGATTATGCAAACTACTTAAACAATTACTTTTGTTCAGTCTTCTCAGAAATAAATTATACTAACAATAATAATGAATTGGGAAATCATATTGGTTCTAGTAATGATGGCTTATTTTTACGATTTCTGGAGTCAGAGGTAACAGAGGAACTGGCTCAGTTAAAGATGAATAAAGCAATTGGCCCTGATGGTATCCATCCCAGAGTTCTAAGAGAACTTCAAGTATAGTTGTTGGACCATCAACTAATATTTTGAATCAATCTCTTCTAACAAAAGTTCCCCATGACTGACAGGACAGCTAATATTGTAACTATCCACAAGAAGGGCAGCAAGGTAAAAGCTGGCAATCACAGGCCGGTGAGTTTAACATCCGTTGTAGTCAAGTTAATGGAATCACTCCTGAAAAGAAGGATCATTGATCCCTTAAAAACACACAACTTTGCAGCATGGCTTTACCGAGGGCAGATCATGTCAGACTAATCTGATTGGATTTTATGACTAGATTACCAATGTTTTGGACCAGGGTGGTGCTGTGGACATAGCATATCTTCATTTCAGCAAGGCATTTGATACAGTTCCACATAATGATCTACTACAAAAGTGTACAAGCTAGGACTTAGCCCTTGGGTGGTTCAGTGGATATGCAGCTGGCTACAGGATAGATACCAGAGTGTGTTTGTAAATGGGGTTCACTCAGACCAGAGATCAGTCACTAGTGGTGTACCCCAAGGCTCTGTATTAGGTCCTGTTCTATTCAATCTATATGTAAGTGATATAACTAAAGGTTTGTTGGGTAAGGTTTGTCTTTTTGCTAAAGACACAAAGGTGTGTAATAGGGTTGATATCCCGGGAGGTGTCTGTAACATGGAACATGATTTGGCATTGCTGGAAGATTGGTCAAAAAGAGGAAATTGCAGTTCAATGTTTCTAAATGTAAAATAAATCAACTAGGGAAAAAGAATCCCTTGAGAGAGTACAACATTGGGGGTACTTTGTTGGCCAGCACTTTCAGGGGAAAGGACTTGGGGGTACTTATTTCAGATGATTGCAAGATGGGCAACTGTGTGGCCAGGCAGTGGGGAAAGTGAATAGAATTCTAGAATACATCACTAGAGGGGTCACCAGCAGGAGGAAGGAGGTCCTGATTCCTCTATATATGTCTTTAGTTAGACCTCATTTAGAATGCTGTGTCCAGTTCTGGAGACCTCACTTATGAAAAGATATTAATAAGATAGAACGAGTCCAGAGACGGGTAACAAAAATGGTGAAAGGTCTGGGGGATAAAATATATCAAGAGCGACTTCAGGAAAGTAACGTACAGTCTGGAGGAAAGAAGGTTTCAGGAGGGCAGTATTTTCTACATGAAACCAAAATCAAGAACACGGGGACATGACTTTAAACTAAATGGAGGAAAGTTCAAAACTAATCTCAGAAAGTATTATTTTACTGAAAGAGTAGTTGATGCTTGGAATAAACTTCCAGCAGAGGTAGTGAGCCAGGCAACAGTAAATAGCTTCAAACATGCCTGGACAAGTATAGATCTATACTCAGACAAAACAGAAAACCAAACACCCCCCCCCCATCTAAAAAAAAAAAAGAAGCAGGCTCGAATGGACCACTCGGTATTTTTCTGCCGTAACTTTTCTGTTTTTATGCAGGCCATAGACAGGGAGAAAAACGGACGTTTTTTTTTTTTTTAGAAAAACAAAAAATCGGTCGTTCAATCAGTCAACGTTTACCACCATTGGTAAAAAAAAAAAAGTCGGCTGATTTTCGTTCTATCTACGGCCGGCAATTAATATAATAGCGGTGTCCCTGCAGAGAGCTCTACTATATTTGACATTTAATAGAAGAAGAAATAGAATATGAATAAGAAAAAAAAGTTGCAATATTGTATCTATTTGTATCTATTTTGGATACAGATGTTTCTATTCGGATACAAATAGATACAATGTTGCAACCACAATACTTTTAACTGTCAAATATCATAGCGGAGCTCTCTGCAGGGACACCGCTAATAGATTTGACATTTCTAAGTATTGCGGTTGCAAACATTGTATCTATTTGTATGGATACAAATAGATATAGATGTTCTTCTTTTTCTTTGGTCACGGCTCATGTGCATTTTTTTTAATCGGGAAAAAGATCGTCCGATTTGCCCATCATTGCCGTGAAAATCGGCCGATGGGCAAAATCGGACGTTTTTTTTTCCCAACATGAACGATTAAAAAAAATTTGTAAGAATCAAGAAAACCTACCGACCAATTCAGCCACTAACGATCCGAAAATCGGCCAATTATTTTTTTGGACGAATTTTCAGCCGGTTTTCTCCCCGTCTATGGCCTGCATAAGTATCACAAATCAGTTTCATGTTATCTTATGGAAATTGTATCTATTTGTCAATAAATGTATATATTATTCAATTATTGGTTAGGTGTGTTGCGCCTCATCTAAAGTCCCAGGGCAAATTATGCACTAGGCCTGTGCGCCCTCTCTTTGTTCTTTCCTCATTCAAATTATGATGTTTGTAAATGAGTTTATATTTGTGTTATCCATTATTCTCTGTGGCCATTCCACCCCCTTGTTAAAGTCTATGGGCATTCCATTCAGTCTTTCCTTTTAGTATGTCCCCATATACGCATATTAACAGCTTGCCGACTGTGCTATAGCTGGATGATGGCTACAGCTCGGTCGTCCAGTTCTGGGAGAGCAGATCACAAATCACGGTAAAGGGCCAATCACAGCGGCCCTTTACATGATCAGCTGCATCCAATCACAGCCGATCGCGATGTAAACACACGTGCCCGTTATTGGCAGTACTTTCGTCACACTGTCAGAGCGTGAGAAAAGTACTGCTGATAACCGCAAGTGTGAAACGGGACATCTACACTGATAATCAGGGCATGGATTATCAGTGCAGCTGCAACAGTGCTGCCTATCAATGCCAATCAGTGCTGCCAAATAGTGCCCATCAGTCCTGCCAGTCAGTGCCCATGATAGCTGCTTATTAGTGCCAATCATTGCCACCTATCAGTGCCTCCTCATTAGTGCCCATCATTGCCACCTATCAGTGCCCATCATTGCCACCTATCAGTGCTCTCATTAGTGCCCATATTGCCACCTATCAGTGCCCATCATTGCCACTTATCAGTTAATTGCCACCTATCAGTGCCTCCTCATTAGTGCCCATCATTGCCACCTATCATGCCCATCATTGCCCTTATCAGTCCCATTGCCACCTATCAGTGCCTCCTCATCAGTGCCCATCATTGCTTCTTCATCAGTGCCCATCATTGCTACCTATCAGTGCCCATCATTGCCACCTATCAGTGCCTCCTATCAGTGCCCATCCTTGTCACCTATCAGTTCATCAGTGCCCATCATTACCACCTATCAGTGCCTCCTCATCAGTGCCCATCCTTGTCACCTATCAGTGCCTCATCAGTGCCCATCATTACCACCTATCAGTACCTCATCAGTGCCCATCATTACCACCTATCAGTGCCTCCTCATCAGTGCCCATCCTTGTCACCTATCAGTGCCTCATCAGTGCCCATCATTACCACCTATCAGTGCCTCCTTATCAGTGCACATCATTACCACCTATCAGTGCCTCCTCATCAGTGCCCATCCTTGTCACCTATCAGTGCATCAGTGCCCATCATTACCCACCTATCAGTGCATCAGTGCCCATCATTACCACCTATCAGTGCCTCCTCATCAGTGCCCATCCTTGTCACCTATCAGTGCCTCATCAGTGCCCATCATTACCACCTATCAGTGCCTCCTTATCAGTGCCACCTCCCTCCTTATCAGCGCACATCAGTGAAGGAGAGAAATTACCTGCCCAGTATTAATTAAATACCATCAAAAGAATGCTCTATTTGTGTGAAAAAAAATGATAAAAATGTCATATTGTTGCATGACTGCGCAATTGTCATTCAAAGTGTGACAGTGCTGAAAGCTGAGAATTGTCCTGGGCAGGAAGGAGGTGGAAGTGCCCGGTACTGAAGGGGTTACACATGAGATGAAGTGCACTTTAACACTCAGGCCATGCTCACTGGTCATAGAATGGATGCTGCTCCCCGAATTCCTTCAGATGCTTCTTCTGCTTCTTGCTCAATGTGCTGATATCCTCATCCCTCCTCCTCCTCTGCTTCCTCTTCCCCATCCTCGGATCACACACACACGTGAGCTCCCCACTGCATACGAGTCCCGTCGCCTACCGGTGACGTCTCGAGGCCAGCCAAAAGCAAGATCGTCAGGAGCGCAGGCGCAGTGCGGGGTCAACTGACCGGACGCCTGACGTCATCGAGGAGCGCGGCGGTTACTCAGCTGTCACCATGGAAGCCGGGGCGGCGGAGAGGCCTCGTGTACCGGAGCGGCTGCAGCGGAGGGATGAGGAGCGGCAGCGGGAGGTGGAGAAGAAGCGGCAGGAGAAGGAGGAGCAGGCCGTGCAGGAGGAGAAGAGCGGCTACTTTAACGCCAGCTTCGGCAGGAGCGGGCGGCTATAGAGGAGGCTCTGAGCGGGGAAGGTGGGCCGGGGCTGCTGGAGGAGGCCGCCGGGCGGATTCAGGGGCTGCAGAAGCTGCTGAATGACAGTGTCATGTTCCTGCCTTCCTATGACACCCGTCAGGCCCAGGAGCAGCTCACCCGCCTGCAGAGTGTCCTGGACGCCCGCCGCCAGCAGATCCAACCCAAGAAGAAATTCGCCTTCAAGTCCCGGAAGAAGGAAGGTGCGCCCGGCGCCACCACCGCAGTCCGACCCACTACGCCCAACCCGGGCAAGGACATCCCAGCCCAACCAGAGGCCCAGTGCGGCTTCCAGGGTCTCTCCGGCCAGGCGCTGTTCATGGACGCCCAGGAGATCTGTCAGAAGGACGTCCAACTGAGCCAACTGCGGGATTGTACCATCACCCTGAGCGGCAACCCCGCCACCCTGCACCTCAGGAGCTGAGTGGGTGCCGGGTGCTGTGTGGGCCCGTCTCCACCTCCATCTTCGTGGACAATTGCCGCGACTGCCTCTTCGCCTTTCCCTGCCAGCAGCTGCGCACCCACACCACCCGCGACAGCCGCTTCTACCTGCACGTCACCAGCCGGGCCATCATCGAGGACTGCACCAATCTGAGGTTCTCCCCCTTCACCTGGAGCTACCCGGAGATCCTGGAGGACTACCGGCTGTCTGGGCTGGACAGGAGCCGCAACAACTGGGACCAGGTGGACGACTTCAACTGGCTGGCTATGGGGGTGAAGTCTCCAAACTGGAGTGTGATCCCCGAGGAGGAGAGGGTCACCACTGGAAGTGAAACCTCATACTGTGCTGTGTTCACTGGGGGGCCTCAGTTGCATTTTACTTACATAGAAATCAATATGCCGTAAGGAATTCAGTCAGACCTGTGCTGGATACTGGGGAGGACTGCATGGATCTCCTGATGGATACCTTCCTTTAGAGCTACTCTGGGGCCCTGCAGATCTTCTCTGGTCCCATGCACCTGGAGCTTTTATAGGACCTTGTTGAACCTTTGATGTCTTTGTTCAACTGGTGCTACTCTGCGATACTGCATATTTTCTGTGGACTGCTTTCAGCTGGAGCTACTCTGGGGTACTGCAAATCTTCAATGGGATCCCTCCACCAAAAGCTAGTCTGGGGCCCTGCAGATCTTCTGTGGTCCCATTCAGCTGGAGCAAGTCTAGGTCGCTGCAGAACTATTGATGGATCCTTTCACCTGGAGCTGCTCTTGCGTCCTGCAGATCTTCTATGGGCTCCCTCCACCAAGAGTTACTCTGGAGTCCTGCAGATCCTCTATGGATCCTCCTACTGGGGTCTGCCCTCCTCTATGGACTCCCTCCACCAAGAGCTACTCTGGGGTCCTGCAGATCCTCTATGGACTCCCTCCACCAAGAGCTACTCCCTCAGATCCTCTATGGGCCCAAGAGTTACTCTGGAGTCCTGCAGATCCTCTATGGACTCCCTCCACCAAGAGCTTCTGGGACTCCTGGTCCTACCACCAAGAGTTACTCTGGAGTCCTTCCTCTGGACTCCCTCCACCAAGAGCCCTCTGGGGTCCTACATATCTTCTGTAGGCCCTGTTCACCATGAGCTACTCTCTGACTGTGCATAAATTGTGATGATCCTTTTACTTGGAGCTGCTCTGGGGTCCTGAAGAGCCTCTGCAGGGGTGACTAACCTGTGGCTCTCCAGCTGTTGTGGAACTACATTTCCCATGAGGCATTGCAAAGATGGGAAGTTACTGACTTGCAGTGGCATGATGGAACTTGTAGTCCTGCAGCAGCTGGAGAGCCGCAGGTTGGCCACCCCTGCTCTATGGGATTCCTCCACCAAGAACTGCCCTAGGATTCTGCAGATCTACTACTGGCTCCCCCCACCTCTAACTATTCTGGGTTCCTATAGATCTTCTAAAAAAACATATAGGGAGAGGGTGCTTCTAAATCCGGGTACATAATTGAATTCTCTACATGGGTGGCCCTGTCATTCACTTTCATCCCAACATCTCTAGATTGAAAAATCCAAAGGGCTGGGACAAAAAATTGTCAAGCAAACTGTGGCTGCATCCAGTCAGGTGCAGCCACTGTTCAGGTATTCTGACGGGTGCTGGCTGAAGCTATCAGAATACAGTAGCCGCAGCAGGAGATTCCTCCATCTACTTTGCACAATGATGATTGATTGAAAATAATCTTTGTGTGTGTGCCCAGCTCAAGAGCAGTTGTCAGCGATGTGATCACAGTGGGCTAAGGAGGATATCTCCACCCATATTAAGTCTGTCTGCTGTTTTACATGCGTGTGTTCGAACAGCCAGCAAACAAGGGGAGGATATACTCATTAGCTATCCGTGATCACATTGCTGACAGCTACTCTTAAGAGACACCCCATCCCATATGCTTTTTTTTTTTTTTTTTTTTTTTTTTTTTTTTTTATAGATTATGCCATTTCCACATTGGTGGACTGGGGTTGAATGGCTCCCGGGGAGCCCCTTTGATAGATTGCACTGATTGACACAGCAAAGCTTCCCTATGATTTCAAGGTTGAATTGTTTACAAAATATTATCCTGGATCCCTTCATTTAGAGCTGGGTCCTGCAGATCTTCTGTGGGCTCCGTGCACCTGGAGCTACCCTGGGCCCCTGCAGATCTGTTGATTGCTCCCTATACCTGGAACTACTGTGAAGTCCTGCTTAGTATGGTAGCAAGGTCTGCCCAGTTAGAGTTCCCCCACCCCTTAAAAGTTCTCACTTTTCATTCCATAAAATGAGGTATCATGTTTTCTTCCTCTGTGTGATTAGACGAGTGAACTGATGTATGACTGCTAGGGGACTATAATACAGCAGGATCACACCCATCAAAGTACTGTGCTATACCTGCAGTATTGATTATTCAATGCAAACAAAACTTTACATCCACCTTATTAACAGGGGTGCCTGAATTGTTACTCCATACAGATAGCATGCAGGACTTGTCTGTGGGGTATATATGAAACTATTGGGTCTGTAATCTGATGGGCAACTCCACACATTAAGTGACTCTATTGCTAAACTCTAAAGTTTATGTACTTAAAAAAAAAAGTTAATAGGTAAAAGGGAAGTCAGAAGTGCTTCTGAAGGGATATTGTGATTGCGGAAGGGGGGGGGGGGGGCGTGATTGTTCTATATTAGTGGAGTTTAGTTGTGTAGGAAGAGGGAGAAGTATTTATTTCTTTGCTCTTATGGGATCACCAGGATAACCAAATATTGTCCAAATACAACAGATGTGCATTCCCACTGGAATTTTGGTGAGCTTTATGTATTTCTGATCTGTGCACTAATCCAGTGTGATACTTTGCCTCTGTACAGAAGCGTCCTGTATCAAAGACCAGTCACTGCTGCTCTCTCTCCTTGTGCAGGGTGACTGGTCTTGTCTCCGCCCCCACCTGTAGTTCTCTGCAGACAGCCTGTAGTTGGTGGAGGCTGTTGTCCCCTCTCATAGCTCTGCTTTCTGCACAGGCTTTACAGAGCAGTGATGATGTGACTACTAAATTACAAGGTAGTATCTAGGTTTGCAAAGGCATTTGGTGCACGCAAGGTAGATTTCCATTTGTGGCTATTGAGCATTATTTTTGAATGAAAATTTTTGTGCCCTGAGTATTGCTTTAAACTTTCAGTTTAGCAACAGAGTCAATTTAACTTGTCTCCCACCAAAGAAGTGCTGTCATTTACACTGCCAACCATTCAGTTTGCCTTTAAAGAAACTTTAAAGTTTTTTTTTTTTTTTTTCACACTGCTGCATTGTGCTGTACTCAAATTATATTTTTCCCAGGGATTCAGAACTATATGAATCTGTGTGTTGCCCAGAACGTAAAGCTACAGAAGTATGGGATATTATTTTCCCCCAAATGACACTTACCTAGGTAGATGCAACATCGGTTCGGTGCTGCATCTATTATCCCCCGGCTGTAAGGGTGAGAACTCGGCGATCACATCACTGCTGATCGCTGAGTTCTCACAGCCATTCTGAGCAGAGAGCGGTGACTGTCAGTCACTGCTGTCTGCTCTGCAGCCCACCTCCATGCTCACTGGGGTGCTGGGCTGTGGAAGGAGCAGCTGTCTCAGGCTCTCAGCACATCACTTAGAGGCTGAGCTAGGTGCCGCTCCAGACTCTGGGGTGGATCCCGACTTCAGCCTGCTTTCAGCTGAAAACGGGTCACAGGAGTGCAGAACAAACTGCACTCCTGTGATCCACAGAAGTACAGCCAAAAGAGGTTTGGCTGTACTTCTCCTTTAACTTTAAAAAAAATAAAACAAAACACTTATTTCACTAATCAACACCAGGGATGGCACTTACAATGCATAAAAAGTATTCCTTGTGTTGGTGGCTGCTGTGTGTGTTGCTTTAAATCTTCAGTCCTCTGCCCTCCAGATACTAGGAATGCACCGATATATCTACCACCAAAAATGATTGACTGAAAACAGTGTTATCGTAATTTTGCCAATAGGAAAAAAAGTGTCAATAATGGAATGCCACGTCCCATAGACTTCAGTGCAAAATCGCGTCCTGTTGACTTCAGTGTAAAATTGCATCCCATTGACTTTAATGCAAAAATGCCCCTTGGTGACTTTAATGCAAAATTGTATCCCATAGACTTCAATGCAAAAACACCAGCCACATTAAATTAGCATTTAAAAAACAAAACAAAAAAAACTTTCCGACTCGGTTTGCAGCCAAGTGCATCCTGAATTTTCGGTTTTCAAACTGGAATTTTCATTTCAGTGTACCACTACCAGATGCTCTTGTAGTTGTGATCTTGTGGTGTTACATGAGGTTAATAGGCTGCACCTGTCACAGGCATTTTGTCAAATGTGCAGACCTGGCAGCTCTTTTGGACCCCCTCCTTCATTCGCAGTAGCTGTACTATCTGTTTCCACAATGAACGAATGGAGTGGATGAATGAAACATCCACCTCCTCCATTCATAGAACGCTTTTTATTGTGAGAACCAATAGTACCGCATCTATGAATGGAAGATTTGAAGGGAGGCTTTTCATTCATTGTTGTAACTGTCCCCAGCACTAAGATTAAGCTTTAACAATTTTTCTTAGTTACATTTTTTTTTTTATATCTACCTGGAGTTCAGCTTTAAAGTGGAACTGAAGTTATCATTCTCACTACTTCTTGTTGGTCTGAAGTCCAGGAGGGGGTCCCTCAACAGAACTCTCATCTTCTCCACTGCTCATTCCGGGTGCCAGCCTTTGGTTGTCTAGATTGGCTGGCTGATGCAGGTTGACAGTAACTTCTGCACAGGAGTCGGTCATTCTGACACACAAGGGACCATGCTGGCTATATAAACTGAGCTACACATGTCAGCTCCATTTACATGCCACAGAAGACTGAGAGCAGGCAGGTAGGTGTACATTATTGCAGAAGAGACGTGAATGTCTTTTCTGTGATAAATAGCCTGCCTGCTCATAAGTTTCAGTCCTGCTTTAAATCATTCCTTGTTCTTGGCAGCAGTGGAGGCTTCCGTATTTCTGTTCTTGCTGGTGTCGATGTATATTAAATCGAACTTACTATAGCTTTAAAGTTGATATTTTTTCACTGTTAATTTATTACACAATCTAATCTGTTAAAGAGGTTTCTTAAAAATACATTTGCTTCAAATTTTCTCTGATTAAATGCTCTCCTTAATTAAATAAAATTTTTGTTTTAATGTTCAGTGTGGTTTGTCTGTAGGGATCTGTCATCTTTGTAAGGATCTGTATAAATGGGCTTGTGTTCCCTTCAAGACAGTTTTTGCGTTCCCATGCACCTGCAGGAAGCCGGTGAAATGCAGGTAGGAGGTCAAATGCAAAATGTTGGTGAATTCTGAATGATCTCCAAAGAGTCTCAAGC